AATTATTTTTTATTAGCTATTGAGTTGTGATTATTCGGGTTTAATGTAATATATTTACTTCATCACTTTTACAAAAACCTAATCTCTACAAACACACCTCAACAAACATACAACTCAAAAAATACGGCTAAATCCTAAAAAGAAGAAGACCCTAAAAACAAACAACATTATTATAACAAGTGAAGCAATGGCTAAAAAAAAAATCCAAACACACCTCCACTTTAATGTCCAATTCTTCTCTTTTGGCAAAATAACTCTCTTCTTCTCCTTCAGCTTCGTAGATAAAATGACAATTTGTGTTTCTGTAGTCCATCAGGTTCAGGTGGTGCTGTATGAGAAAATGACGTCGAAAAATAGATAATATTACCAATAAAACAATAAACCCCCAGCTGCTTAAATATCATGATTTGCACGCGCTCCAATTTTAAATCTTTTACATCGTAGTTACACTTAGGTTACACACGCGGTACCAATGTGACGAGCTTAATAGTTAGTTACATCACAGTTACACGAAGGGTATACTTTCAGTTATATGAAGGTTACACGAGCGGCTCCGTGGAGATGGGCTTAATAGTCCGTTACATTATAATTACAATCGAGTTACACGAAGGGTACGCTCTCGGTTCCGCGATGACGAGGTTATACGGATGTTACACTTTGATTATATGCGCGGTACCGCTGCCAGAGTGAGGAAGGTTACACATGGGTTACAACGGGATTACAAGCGCATTATTAGAGGCTTGCCACATAAGGTATTGCATGGGTATAGAGGGGTTACAATCAAGTTACCGTCTTGTGTCGGGTCAACGGGTCGTGCTTGAGAAAACACCTATTTTTTTTATAATTTACAAGTGGTGGGACTGCCGATGCATACATGACATCCTCCTATTGGTCATCGTACGCAGTGCTGTGTACGTCTTACACAAAATTTTTTTCCCGTTTTTGAAAATGCCGCGGTACCGTTTGGATCGCACATTTTGTTTGCTTATCCAAAAACACACTTTCATTTTTTTACTAAACGCAGACCACAAGTCGACCCTTGCGGGTCGCATTTTAGGATAAGCTGCTTATCCTGAAATGCACAAGCTGCCCCAAATGCACATTGAAGCTATGGGGCCAAGAAAAAAGAAAGTAGTTGTGGGATATCATATTGAACAGTGTCAGGAATAATTTTCTCATTCATAGTAGTACGAAAGAAATCCCGAATGTTCTGCTAGTACTCTTCCGCTTTTCTTCTTTTCTTAGTCTACTTATAGGCTTAAAAAGCAAAAAAAAAAATAAATAAATAACAAACTTAAAAATTATCCAATATTAATTTAGCATGTGGATCGCTAATGTGTTTGTCTTCATCCACCAGATCGCTCCATCCTTCCATCGTACGATCCAACATCCCACAGATAGCTGACGTGGTGTACCGCGGACTGCCGTCCAAGCTAATAGATCGCTAATGCGGCTCTCCACCATCCATCATATTGCTCTTGCCTCCAACCAACTTCTGCTGCCTCCCCTCCGATCATCGATGCCTCGGTCAATTGCCATTGCCGACCTCTTCAGGCCCTCCGGCTGCCGCCGCCTCCGGCCATCGTTGTCGCCAGCCCGCTTTGATCACCGCCCAAAGTTGATCAAGATTGATTTTTGATGCATTTGTTTGTCATCGCCCAAAGTTGATCAAGATTGGTGTTTGTCATAAACCAAATGACAATCACTTCTTACTGTTGTCTCATTAGCCACAATCAATTTACTTATGTGTGCACAAAATGTCATAAAACAATAAGATAATAATCCTCTATCTCCACAAAGGTTGTAAAAACATAATAATTATAATTTGAATTATAAATTACATTGAATTTGGTGTTATGTATAGTTATGTGCACAATATTTTGTATTTAGCTCAAAATTTTGACATAGCTTTAGTCCAACGTCTTGTTGAAATAAAAACCTAAGCTTCGAGAGCAATATAAATGTGAGAAAACAAAAAACCGGAGGTGAAATTTGGGCTTCAAGCGAGAAGTAGAGATATATGTCTTTGAAAATGCTATAAATAAATTAATTAAATGTTTGAAATTTTTGTTCGAGTCAAATTAAATATTAATTTGAAAAAACAAAGCGAAACACAAATATGTTATTTGAGTGTTATTTCAAACACAAGTCTAATACGAAAATTAGAATTTTAAATGATTTTTAGTCCGCCCAATCTGTTTACACTAAAATTAATCTAAATAAATTAAATTATATGGAAATATTATTATTAGTGGCTTATTTAAAATAAAATAGATATTTTAATACCTATATTTATTTTTTTTAAAAAAGGATATTATTAAAAAATGTGTTTTTTATGTAAATTCACATAATTACATAACAATTTAAGTAAATTAAAATAAAATAAAATAAATGCCCATACAGGTACAGGCCCAAGTGACGGAAAGAAATCCAGGCGGCGCTGCTATCTTCCTCCGCAAAACCCCATTTCCCATTCCCTCTCTTCTCCACTGCCACTCTCCTGCGGCGGAATACTAATCGCCGATCCTGCCTCCCGCCTCTCTCTCTTTCTTCGGCGTCGGCGGCGGTGAGAAGGACAATAAGGCAGAGGTGTAAGTGCGGGCGGCGAAGAAGAACGGCGTTCGTTGCGCTTGGAGAGGATGCGATCGGATGAGGAGGAGGAAGAGGAGGTGGTGCCGGAGTTTGGGAAGCGTCGAGCTCGATGATGGGTCTGCAAATGGCATGGCAGCAGTGCGTTTCTGAGAGGCGGAGGCCGCCGCTTGGGCTCAAAAACCTCGGCAACTCTTGTTACCTCAACAGCGTCCTCCAGTGCTTAACCTACACCCCTCCCCTTGCTCAATTCTGCCTCTCTTCCGAGCACTCTTCTCTCTGTACTGTATCTCCTTTCTACTGTTTCTCCAGTTTTTTTGGTTGCCCTATTTATTTTTGGTCTGATCTTGAGCAGGCAAGAGGCTATTCGCAAATAAGGAGAAGGAGTGTCCATTCTGCATACTCGAGCGGCAGATTGCTCGTTCGCTGAAACTGGACGGCCACCTTGACACGCCGTCAAAGATTCAGAGATGTCTAAATGTGTTTGCGGAGCATTTTCGATGGGGGAGGCAAGAAGACGCTCACGAGTTTCTTCGATACGTCATTGATGCCTGCCACAATACGTGCCTTAAGATACTCAAGAGGCGTTCGACCGTATGCAATGGAAGCAATATTAACGGCACTGGTGTCAAGTTAAAGAAGGAGGAGCCCTCTGGAACGAGTACTATTATGAATCAAATCTTTGGTGGTTCGCTCCTCAGCCAATTGAAGTGCCTTTCCTGCAAAGGTGAATCGAATAAGGCTGATGAGATTATGGATGTAAGTCTTGATCTCTATGAGAGCAACTCTCTCAGAGAAGCCCTTAGTAGATTCTTTCGAGCCGAGGTTCTGGACGGCAACAATAAGTATAGCTGCGAGAGGTAAGGGACGTTGCCTATTTCTTTTTAAGAATTATGCTAGGCTAATATTGGTAAGATATGATGTTTCTTAATTATTTATGATAGGTGTAAAAAACTATCTGTGGCTAAAAAGCAGCTGTTCATACTTCGAGCCCCAAATGTGCTTGTTATCCAGCTCAAGGTGTTTCTTCTTTCTATCATGATGGTTCATCCTTTTTTTTTTGGTTTTCATTTGCTAGCTATGTATTCTTAGTTTATTTGTAACTTCAATCTTCAGAGGTTTGAGGGTGTTCATGGTGGAAAGATTAACCGTTGCATTGAATTCGAGGAGATTTTAGAGCTCTCTAATTATATGTATAAATCTTGTCAGGTATGCTTATTCAGTATGTCTTAGTTGTTTTGAGAGGTATGATTTTGTGAATTCATAAGTTAATCTTTTTTTTAAGCATTGTATGAATAGGAAATCTGATGATTTAATTCATGAAACAATTGCAGTATGTAGCTCTTTTGAAAATTTATTTAAGTTTCCTAAGTAATATGATGGTATAACCTAGTCTTTTTGTTTTTTTGTTGCAATTAGCTGCGGAATCTAGGAGCATATGCATGAAAGGTTATGCAATATTAAGGTTATTTAAAATCATATAAAAATATCCATTTATGAGAATATTTAGTTTATAAACTTATGAAGGTATTTCAATCAATAATTGGATGAGCCTATTAGGCATGCTCTTACCGTACTTCAAGTTGTAGTTATTCGAGTTTTAGCATGCGAGCTTTGCATGAACTTGTAAAATTTGAATTTAGCTTATTCAAACTCAGATCAATCTCAAGTAGGACTTCTATTTGATCCAGCTTGACTCTAGGGTCCGATTGCCATAACTCATACTTGCTTCTTCTTTTTAAATAGAATTAACATTTTTAGGCTATTTAGTTGAACGAATGCAAGATACAAAAGTAGTTCATAAAAGTTAAAATCAATGTTTTTTTAGAACAATGGTTTAAGTTGCTTCCCAATTAATAATTTTATGGTTTAAAATTTTATTTAATAGATAAATAAATAATTTAATTAAATATATATTAGTTGAGATTTTGATATTATATAAAATGGAGTAAATTCATTATATTATCTATTTAGGTCATTGAATTGGCTTATATCAATGCCGCAATATTTTTTTTTTCCAAGCAACCATAAATTTTATAGCACTTTAGAATGCAATCTTAACATAATTTTATTTGAATAATCACCAAATTTACTTGATTCTACAACACAACACAAAATCTCAACTCAATTTGTTTATGAGTTATTTTAAGTTACACTCACAAGTTGTCAAATAACTTATTTACAATTAAATTTTACTTACGATGGGGCATTAACTAAAGTATTGATTACCTCTTTTCATGTTTTAAATGGATGACAAATGGATGAGGCATCTAGAACTATTGAGGTTGTGGTGACAGGGAGTTTGAAGTGTGTGGACTGGAGATGGAAAGATGAAATGTTCTGCCTTTTTTTTTTGAGCTAAGAAATTTAATGATTAACAGAAGCCTATGAGATGAACAATTTATTGGAAATGAGATAGACTATGTATATGTATTGACTTGGAGATTGAGTGAGGATTTTTGATTTATGTGGAAGGGATGGGATGGCTGGTGTTCTTTTTAGATCTAGCGAACATATGTTTTTTAGAACTTTGTTCAAAATTAAAAAAAATGGTGTTTGCTACTAGTCGATCTTTCATAAATAAGGGTTCACTTATTCTACTTGCCACAATTTTGATTTTGAGATTGAGTCATGAATGAAACAAAGAGAAAAAAATTTCACATGGTTGAAACTTAAATAAAAAATATTTTATTATTGTGGAACTTTGAGAAGATCTTATGGAGGATTTTTTTGGGACAAATTAGGAAACGTTTAATTAGTTTTTTTTCTTCATATTCTATGTTATTTTATTTTTATTTAAGAATTATTTTTTTTTCTTAATTTTAGTTAGATGTATTTGGTAAGTTTCTAAATTAGGAGAGATTGTTTTTCCTATATATATGTGCCCTACATGCTAAGAAGATAATCAAGGGAGTTATTCCTCCCCAAACCTAATTTTTGACATACTATCAAAGCCTTGGAACAACCCCAAGCCTCCACAACGCACATCTTCATTGCATCTTCTCCACATCTTCACCGCATCTTCACCGGAATCTTCTCCTTTCTGCAGACAACTCCTCACTTTAAGCTTCCTCCCAAAAGTTTGCTCCATGTTGGCCCCAACTTGCTTGCAAAAGTCTTGTCTCCAATCGGTTCCTCCGCCAAAAACCTCCGAACATCAATTTTTGGATGCACTTGATGACACTTACACGACCTGAGTACCTACGCCTAGCCCTCCTATTCTCGTTGAGGTTGTCTAACCAACACAATCAACCCAACCTAAGGTCCAAAACAAAGAACTTTGTGTGCACACAAGGAGAAAAAAAATTTTGAACAGGTGGAAGACAACGTGCAAGGACAAAACTGCTTAAACCAGTACCCGAGTCCGCATTCACCAGAAATTTCAGGTCAGGAGTGTAGTACTCATGAGTTATCCCCGTCCTCTTTTGATATTGTTGACAAGAAAAACTGCATTAGATATCTAATTCTGGAGTATGCAACTTATGAGAAATTATCCTCATCCTAGATAGCTTTTGTTTCTAACCTTGATAGTAAAGAGATTCTTGAAAATTTAGAATGGGGGAAAGCTGTTGAAGAAAGTATTCGAGCACTACAACTTAATGATATATGTATTCTTACTAAACTCCCTCATGATAAGAAATTTGTTGGGTGCAAATAGATGTTCAACCTCAAATACAAAATTGATGGGGGTATTGAGACATTCAAAGCCATACTAGTTGCAAAAGATTCACTCAAACCCGTTGGATCAATTATTAGGAGACCTATGCATCAATTGCCAAACTTACACTATCAAACTTCTCCTTTTAATAGAAGTTAAGAAGGAATGAAGACTACATCAGCTTAAAAAAAAAATGCCTTTATGAATCGGAATATGGAAGTGTATATGGAGGTAACACTAGGACTTGGGATTGATTTCAACAACCACTTAGTATGCAAACTTTGGAGGTATCTCTATGAGCTTAAACAATCATCAAGTGATTGGTTTGAAAAGCTCACTAAAATTATGAGATCTAATGGGTATTCTCAAAGTTAACCTAATTATATACTATTTGTAAAACACGCTTAGGAAGGTAAGACAGCTGTATTGATAGTATATGTGGTTGATATGATTTTTACTGGTAATAACAGTGATTCTCAAGATTAAAGAAGTGTCTGCCACAGAGTTTGGAATCAAGGGCCTTGGGATCATGCAATACTTTCTAGATATGGAGCTAACCAGGTCCAAGAAATGCATCGTTATATCACGAAGGAAATACATCCTACATCTACTAGAGAAACAAGACTGATTGGATTTAAGCTTGCTAATATTCCAATGGATTCTAACTACAAGTTAAAGATGGAAGAATAAAGCATCTTTCTGGATAAGTGAAGATATTAAAGACTGGCATAAATACTTATTTTTCCGTCACATACAAGACGGGATATTGCATATTCCGTCAATATTATGACTGAACACATGAATAACCCAAATGAAAAGCACGTGGAGATGGTGCACATAATTTTGAGATTTCTGAAAAAGACTCCTGATTATATATTAATCTTTGAGAAAAGAGGAGCAAAGATGTGAAAGCCTTTACTGATGCTAGTTGGACTGCGAAAATCATTAATAGAAGGTCCACCACAGGTTACTGCTTCTATGTATTGGGAAATTTGATGACATGGAGAAGTAAGTAACAAACAGTTTTTTCTATATTCTTCTCTAAACCTATTTTTATGCAATAATCAATTGAGAAATCATTAAAATTTTTAAAAAAATTTCGTAACCATGACTTTTTTATAGAGAGACAATTAGTTAAATGACTAGAAGAACCGCTCCTTGAGATAAAATAATTGCATACCTGAAATGACATGGAATTGAGTGTGTGGAAGACAAGTGAATTAGGTTTTCTTTCGCTACTTCCTCAAAAATAAGTGTGCTTGCAATTATTTCTTCTAGGTTACTGAACAATATAAATTCGTGTGCTATTTTAGGGTTTTTTTTTGGGGACAATAAATGCTATTTTACGGCGTATGGAAGACAGAGGAATTTGGTTCTGGCAAGCTAGTTGATCTCCAATGACGGGAAGGCCAATAAATGTGGGAAAAAGCTAAAAACGGATAAGGAGTAAGAGGGATAAAGAGAAGGAAATTTAGGTGTGAAATTTGATATTTCTGATTCTAATTTAAAATTTATAGCTTATAGGCCTTTTATTTATAGAAAAAAAGGTTATTATCTCTTTATATTTCATGATACTTAATTCTAGGAATCCTTTTTTTTTTAATTTCTGAATTCATTTTGAATTACTTTTAGATCTATTTAAAAAGAGGTCAACCCTTCAATTGAGGAGAAATATATTGGTTGAATATAAGTTAGTTTTCAGGAGGAGAAGTATATTTGGTAGATGTAAGTTTGTTTTCTTGATTTTTCCAACCAATTTTCTTTTTCCTTCTTTCTACCACTCTTTTTTTAATTTTAAAATATTTTTTTGTAATTAAACCCTCTCAGTTTATATTTGGAATTCATCCTTTCAGGGTGAATTATACGAGTCACTTTTCTTCCCATTTTATACTTGCATTAATAGAACTTTGAGTAGATTGGGATGGTTCATTTTTTTTATTTGATTTTGATCAAAAATCTTTTTTATCATGATGAGAGTTGATGGCGTTCTCTTATGATACTTTTATTTGATTTTCTTTTTTGTCTGTTCTTAAAGTGGAACAAGACTTATTGATTCTATACCTTTTTGATTGTTTGACTAGCACAATTTTTTTATTTATTCCTTAGAAGATAGCATCCTTATTTACATGGGCTACCAGTATCACATGTGACATGAATATTTATTGCTAAAACTTTTTAGAGTACTACTTCAAAGTATTCTTTAGAGAAAATAAACTTAATAGTTTATTGGTTTATGACCTAACAAATAGTACCCTTCACGAAATCAACTCAAAGAGTAGGGCATTGTTGACTAACCACAATATCTCAAGAAAGGTGTAGAGATGGGTTCTTTTCACTATTTAGATCCAAACTAGCATCGATGATGTTATATTTTAGTGAAGCTTAACGGGAACTATTCTTCCTTGGTCTTATCACTCCAGCACTTGCGTGCAACATCAAGGGCAATGGATGATTACATTTGTCACTTCTACTTTTAACTACTTTTTCTTTGAATTAGCAACGATGGTATTTTTGTTGTTGTTTCATTTTGCCTCTTCTTTGGATATAAATT